GAAAAGGTGTAAAAATGCTGTACAGTATGGATGCTATCAAAAATAATGTCATAAATAGATTTTATCAATTAACTAAACTTAACTATTAACTCAAACCAACATTTATGTGACCAACCTTTGCGTTTAAAACAGCTTTTGTCCTCAGTGCACTTGCACAGTTTTTCAGGTAGCTTTGCAGGTAAGATTCTTGAAGCATCTTGGAGACGTTGCCACAGTTCTTCTGGATTTAGTCTGCTTCAGTTTTTTTCTGTTTCCTCATGTAATCCCAGACGGATTGGATGATGGTGAGATCAGATCTCTGTGTGGCGCACTGGCTGTCGTCAGACTCCTTGTGCATACAAACATCTCACTGCATTATTCCAATTAATGGCAAAAGCAATGTTTAGAAATGTAAACTGACACACTACAGCAAAATATAGAAATAACTGACTTAACCATTTTTTTGTTGGTGAAAATACAAATGGCCTAAGACTTTTGCACAGTAGTGTATATATATATGTGTGTGTGTGTGCCATCATGTTGGGGAACAAATAGCAACAAATTATTGGGTCTGCTACCATGCTAACCATTGTGACCAGTGTGAAGAGCTCCATTGACGCCATGCGGTTGGGCGAGGGGCGCACAAATCCGTTTGAAACTGTGGCCTTTATGTTTTCTCTACGTAAGCCAAGACGTTCCATGTCTAATGATTTCATGTAATAATGGAGACCACTGTGCTTTTCCGAAACCCGACAAACTCCCACACACCCCACCCCCACACTTTGTTTTCCCATCCCTCTTGGACAAGCTTCATGGAAACCAGCATCTTTGTAAGTCTGCAAAAAAAAAAAAGAGAGAGAGAGAGAGAGAGAGAGAGAGAGAGAGAGAGAGAGAGAGAAAGAAAAGCAAGAAAGGGCCCAAAAGTAAATGAAAGCATAACAATACAGTGTCCCTGTGAGATTCCTGCCATGTTCTAACCACCAGGCCCCATTAAAAAGAGCCTGGGCTCCTACAGAACATGGCAGCATATTGATAGCATATGACTGATTCACACAAGGACAAGTAGCCTACGTCTCTCTCTCTCTTTCTCTTATCCTTTTCCTCTGGTCTTCCTTTAAGATCAGGGATCAGGGCAATGTTATACAAACTCAGAGTGAAAAGATGAGAAGTATTCTACCTGTTATTTCAGCCAGGGCCTCCTTCTCATCCTGTGTTCAGAAATAAACAAATGATATAATCACACAACCGTACTGTACGACCACAAACAGTAGTACACCCCTCCCCCCTCCCCCCTGGTAATGGTATAATTGGACAGCGTGCCACAACATGAGCTGGTGTGAAAAAAAAAGACTAAAATAAATAAACTGCCATCAAGCAGCACAGCAAAAATAAAATAAGTCTTTTTTTAAGTACAGTCCATTTCTAACAAATCATTTACAAACCCTTACAGTATTTCCCTTACTTTAGAAAGTAAATTATTTAAAAATATAAGTATATCATTGTTATTATTGTTATTGGAATATTTATTCTGACAATTAGAATAAAAAAATCTAAATTATTCCAAAAATTTAGTAACACTTTATAATAAGTATACACTAATAAAGTACTTACAAATCATTAACAAACTATTAGTTAATAGTTAATTAATAGTTTATATACTGTGGTTAATACATTAATAGACTCTATACAAATAGTGAGTTCTTCATTCATTGTCACTATAATTACCACAATTATTGCTTTTTAATTAGCTCATAGTAAAGGAATTGTTGATCGGTAATATGGAGTGAATAGTTGTCACTTTAGATTAGGTCAAGGAAAATGGAAAAAATGTAATTAATAAAGTACTTTAAACCAACCTACCCCTAAACCTACCCATCAGAGAGAGAGAGAGAGATTTCTGTGAGCGGTAGGTTTAGGGGATGGGTTAAGTGACAGAATATAACAAAACAACAGAAATCTATTAATGTTGTATTAAAGTTTGTACAGTGTAAAAACCATTACGCTTACGGATATACTTTGTGTAAAAGTAAAGGTTGGTTTAAAGCACTTAATAACATTTTACCATTTTACGTGACCTAATCTAAAGTGAGAACTATTTATGGTTAATAAGTTAAAACATTATCTAACTCTTTACATATGATCTAACTAACCCTTTAAACCTGAGGTATCCTGCCGGTGGGACACCTCCCCCACGAAATAAATCATAATCAAATTACTAAGCAATCACTGAATGGAATAACACAAAATAGAAAAAATAAATACTAATATTTTTCAAAGCACTGCCTTGATCAACAAAAAATGGATATCATTTGAAAGCTTAGAGTCTGAACTTTACAATGCATGTAGCAATTTGATTAACTCCGAAGTAGTGTTGTTATTTGCTGATTTAAAAAAAAAGTTTTCATTAATTACAAAATGTTTTTTGTGCCATGTACTCTAATATGTCAAAGACATCATACAGCTCAGATAGTCATGTGCCATATGTCATTAGAAAGGTCTCATCAAGTAGAATAAAACAAGCATAATTGTTTGGCGCTTTAACTAAACTTGAGCAAGTTTTTGTACAAGAAGTCACCCCAGACCCATTTGAAAATAATATATGAATGCGGCATTTGTCACTTTATTGCTCGCAACTTCATAAAACAAACATGCTCAGATCATGGAAAATTTTGAGCAGATTCTCCTGATTAAAAATAGCCCAAACTCACTATATAACCCATCATTTATAACTAAATATATTCCTCATTAATTTATAACACACATAAAATTGACCAGGCAACATGTAGCTAAGCAAAAAAATAAAAGAAAAATAAATTAATAAATAAATAATACTAATAAAAAATAAACTAAAAATCAAAGGTAGGTTTCATGTGGCTTTTTCACTCGCAACTTCATGAAACATGCATAGTGATTTCACATCATTATTTGCAGAAAATTCTCCCAATTAAAAAGAATCCAACTCATCGTAATTCATTATATCTAAAGATATTCCTTATATTGTTATAAGACACATAAAACCGCTAAATAAAACAAATAAATGGCCATTTTCACGTGGCGTTTTTGTTCATAACCTCATGAAATATGCATAGATTGTGGAAAATGGCACATCATTATTTTTAGCCCAAACTCACCATAATCTATCATTTAGATCTAAAGATATTCATAGAGTTATAACACATAAAAACCCCAAAGGTGCATGTTATAACTTTCACATAGTTTTTACGCTAGTCATTTCACGAAACATCCTGATAGTACATCTGAAAATAGCACATCATTTACAGCAGATTCTCACGATTAAAATGAGTCCAAAATCAAAATAATCCATTGCATCTTTCGTGTGTATGATAACTAAACCCATGAACTGAATAAATCAGTTGGAGAGCTTTATTGAACACTTGGCAAGTACAATGTAAAAGCCATCATGTTTCTGTCTATTCTGTCTTTTTTTATATAAATAGGTACCATTTTAAAGCATCCAACCATTTTGATCAACTCTTAACGAGTCCCTCTAAACCGGAGTGAATCACCGGCAGGTGCCACCTAGCGAAGAAAAAAAAATCATATTTTTCAGAACCACTGCCTTGAGCAACACAAAATAGATGAACTTTACAATTCCAAATAGCTTACTGTAACTTTTGATTACTTCATGATTTCACCACAAAATTTAATTCACATACAGCTCTCGTCTTTAAGAGTGTTACGGGGCTGACGAGACGTGAGACGTGCGGATCCATGTGCAAATTTTATTGTGGAGAAGACAGAGACGTGGTCAAAACAGGCATGGGTCAGATAGAGGCAGACAGGTATATGGTGGGCAAAACACAAGAATAGTCCTAGGGCTAGCGCAGGTCGACGATCGGCAGACAGAATCAAAAAGGGCAAGACAAAAGGGGTGAATCCAGGGAACCAGGCGAAGATCAGAAACCGAGAAGGCTAAGGCTAAGGCTAAGGCTAAGGGTAAGGAAAATGACAAGGGCTAAGGCAAATGGCTAGGGCTAAGGCAAATGGCTAGGGCTAAATGGGAAATGTAGTCCGGGGTGATGTGCAACAGTGTGTAGTGCGAGAGTCAATGAATTGGAAAGTTCATGAACCGGATTCGTGACAAAGAGTAAGAGTTTTATTCCTACCTTATTTCTTTCCTGAGATATTAAATGTCAAATAAGAAAGATATGAAAAATTTTATCACCTATATCTCAGCATGAGAATGTCCAAATGTAAAGACCCCCCCCCCCCCCGCCAAAAAGATTTTTTCCCTCTACCTTATTTCTTTCTTGAGATATTGAATGTCAAATAAGAAAGATATGAAAAATTTCCCTTGAGCACACTAATTTTCATTTTGCAAATGATTTGTAAGCAATTTATTAGTGTGTACTTATTATAAAGTGTTAATTCTTTTAGACGCTAAAAATGACATTTAACGCATAAGAACTTCAATCTAGTGAAATAGCCCAAAAATAAAGCGTCAGATATTACAGGTGCTAGTAAGTACAAAAAAAGTTCAGTTGAACAAAAGTTGAACAAAAAAAGAAAAATATGCTTCTGGCTTAGAAGGTTGAAATTAGATTATTCCCATTATTAAACAATAATTAGAAAAAAAAATTGCAATACATTATTAATACATATAAAAAAAAACAAATCCTTCCTAATTTGGTGACAGCCATGCTCAAACTGTACTGTGACCACTAATTTTTGCTCAAGTCAGAACTTGAGGGTTCTCATTAAAGTGCCATTTCCATTTCCCATTTCCTAAATCCTTTTGCTGGTTTCAGAGGAGGCTGTGATGATTCTGTGTCGTTTCGTTTGCAGTTGCTGCTCTAAATTCTGTTCTGGTTACAGCAACGAACTTAGAAATGACAGAGTATTCAAGTATCTAATAATTGATAACATTATCTGATAACGTTCAAAGGTCTGAATATCATATTTAACCCCAAAGCTGATCTTAAACAGACGAGTATTTATATCCGAAGCTATATCAGATCAAATTCACTTTAGTGATTCCCCTGTCAAATATTAAAATATCTACAAATTTAGTCATGTAATGTGAATGGCCGCTTTCCAAGCTCTGTGCTACGCCAGTGGGACACCAAACATGAAAAAATAAGAATACTGCACAAGTCTTAATCCCATTTGTTTTGCCACTGAATTTGGCCAGCATTAAATTAGCTTCATATCCCTAGAACACCATCAGTGAGAAAACAGCAACAGGCCAATGAAATGGTTTAATGTGCACTGAGTTTTATAGAGGTTGCTATTAACTTTTTATATGTGGGGTGACATTTTGTGCCGAAACGGTAGGTTATAGGCTTTATGGCGTCATTAGGTCCTGACCTTGGGTCGGCCCGGAGTAGATGGCAAATTTATCTGACATTGCCGGATGAGGTGGAAACAGGTCAATCGCATCCATCTGCTCCTTATAAATAACACAAGGATGAACAAAAACAGGCAAATCATAAGTGATAATGCTTTGATAACTCGCAATAAATATCATACACTCTTAAAAATAAAGGTGCTTCATGATGCCATAGAAGAACCATTTTTGGTTCCACAAAGAACCATTCAGTCAAAGGTTCTTTAAAGAACCTTTGACTGAATGGTTCTTTGTGGAACCAAAAATGGTTCTTCTATGGCATCACTTGAAGAACCATTTGAAGCACCTTTATTTTTAAGAGTGTACGGCGCACAAAAGTATCTCACTGACCCCCTAAAATATGAAATACATTACAGATGGAGGTAGGATATTAGGACTATTTTTCTATGAGCTGTAAAGGAAGCACCACTACTTAATGAGGAGTAATGAGACTAATCTTGGATGCATGTGAGAAGACGGCGACATGATTATATTTGAGCCTTTAATTCGAATCCTCCGTCCGGCGCACCTGAATAATCGATGCATCTGAAATAACAATGGCAGTCTGCAGCTTTATTGAGAGAATGCTTGATAGGAGGAATCCTTCAATAACTCTTGCAATAAAAGTCAGGCCACTTTTAATATCACATATGTTGGCAGGCCTGAAGTTGGCCTTATGATTATGGCATTGCTGTGATATGAAAGCAGACACTTACATCTTTACGGAAAATCTGACAGGCCATTGCTAGTTTGCCCATATTTTATATTTTGCAAAAACATATAAATAGCTAGTTACCATGCCCCCTTAATTACGCAGTGGGTTCCCGGTTGCAACGTACAGCCAGATCTAGGACGCAAGGAAAATAAAAGAACCATATTTAGATTCAACCACAGTCCTGGGGAAGCCTTGCATCAACTTTTACTGAGCCTCGGTGGACTTTGTCACAACCTGGCAACCTCAGGTGGAGCAAGAGCCCACAACGTTTCAAGCCACAACTTGGCTGCCGCTCTGTCGGAGTGGGAACCGAAGACTCCAGAATTCCAGGCTGGAGTCCTCCGGCACAAAGGATAAAAATGGATATGAACCGAAATATGAGGTGGGCCCGCCTAGGCCCAACACGAAAGCGGTTTCAGGTTTTTTGATTGTTTATTTTTACTTTGTTCTTTTTTCCATTAACCACAAATATAAAATAGTTTTTTTCCGCCACATGAGAACATTAAAATCGCATATACATGTTTTTCTTAAATAATAGCAGAGGTTTTTCCGGGTCATAAACTCTCTTTCACAATGAGGCTGGATTTTAAATCATAATGTATTTCTTGGGGTCACATCATGACATTTGCTCGTCTGTTAACTTCCTGTCACTTGCGGCTCCCAGGAGAGATCTGAAACTGTCCCCCAGAGTGTCCCAGGAGAAAGCACTGAGGTTCACCTAGGGAAAAGAGAGACAAGAGAATAAAGGGGAAAGAAATGGAAAGAACAGAGAACAGTGAAAATGTTATGACGGAATTGGAATTTTATTGTTTTATAATTAGTTAAGCAGTTTCTCTCACATGGGTATGCTTGAGAATGCAGATCTTAATCATTTCATAATTTTTGTCCAATTTTACCTTGGACATCAAGTGGGACCCAAACCAGTGAAAAGAAACAACAACAACTATAAATCAAACATTTAAATGTATTTATTAAATTATATTAGAATTATGTATTGTGTATATTTATTAAGTCAATAATTCACATTGTGGTTGGCATACTGTGTGTAAACAATGTCAAACCATATTTAGCGTAGCCTGTTTCTTTCTCTTCTTTGTTTTTTTGCATTAAAACTTCTACAGTATATGTGGCAAATTTGCATCAAAATACAGTGGATGCATGACCTTTGACCTCAACAACAAAAGTTCATTTGAAAACTAAGACTATTTAGCTAACTGTGCTAACACTTTTGCATGTAGCATTGCTTTTTTCTCTTAGAACAGACTTGCGACCCACCAGTTGTATGTAGTTTCCTTGATGAATGTTTATTCATGTACAGTCACAGAATTTTATGACTAAAAATCACTAAAATTTATGACTAGAATTATCTGTAGAAGTCTTTGCGCTTGATTTGATTCCCAGCTAAATTAACATTATTTACCTGAGTAACATGTTGTCTGACTAACTGTGGACGCTTGCAGAAGTCTTGTAGTCTTTTACACAGCTGTTCAGGTGTTGAATACAGATATGTTGCTACAAGAGGAAAATACATATTTGATAAGTCAGAAACCTCAAAGAGCAGAAGAGATCGCAGGCACTTTCAGCATTAAAAATTCAGCTGACACCATGCTGCGTGATGCTGTACATTATTGAACTGTGGTTATATTTATTTATTTATATAAAAATGCCAGAATAGTTTATGGCAAATTCTTCAATTGTGCTTTAAGATGAATAAGTCATTAAATACAGAAGTTGAACATAGCAGCTTTGCCTGTGACAATCATCTTCTTTTGCAAATTAAATTGATGAAAATGAAAGAATTTAAAAAAATTTTTTTACCAGGGAATATTTCAGGATATACCAAAGCCCTCGGACAGAGGGGGTAACAGCCACAATGGACTGCTTCTAACCTAAAAGAGAAGAATTATGTTATATAAGATTCAGTTTCATAGTGCATCAGAACTCTATTGACCAAATGTATGGAGATGAAATGGCTGCATTTCCCCAATTAGCAATTTCTGAAACGGCACCATAGAAGTTCGGTGCAATGAAGCTGACAACAAACAAAAACAGTTGCCAGTACTGAAGAGAGCCATCATAACTGGCTGAGGGAAGGTTATTTTTCCTCTTTACTTACCACCCACCAGATGAAGCGGCACCTTGGACTACACCTTGATCAATATGAACCTTTATACATAGCAGATCAAAGCCTTTCAAATCATTTTACTAATTCAAATACCTAATGAACTCTGGTAATGATACTTCATAACTATGGCATAGTTTTACTCATGCTTTCAGTTCATCAAATAGTTCAATCTAGGGCAAACTTTGCTCCCAACTGATTCAACTCATTTGAACCCCTATTGCTGGCAGTGGAAATGACCGGCTGTTTAAATATTTTGTAGAATGAGTATTAATATTTAATGAGTCTATCCATCTCTCCCTTCACCATCAGATCCTCATCTAATTTCCCATGCTAAAACCATGCATATTTTAATATCCGATTAGCCATCTGCCATTCACTGCTGAAATTTCAAAATTCTGATTGAGCAATGGGACACATCTCCTCAAACAATCCTGTGGATTTGTGAAACGTCTCAGAATCGCAAAGCTGTGTTTCAAAGTGGTTTGTATTCTTACATATTTAATGGTCGCTCACAGAATGCTAATGTTAAACCTTCAGAACTGTGGCATAGGAAAACAAAGAATACATAATTCTCTTTAGTTTTTTTTCGTTGAGCGCAGTAATCATGGATCAGGGAGTTTTGGTTTAAGGTGGGCAACATGTCGGACTTGCTGAATCCTAACCTATTAAGGGGCAGTTCACATGCTTTCTTGCATCTGTCTGCAGCTTTGTTTAAATGTTTTCTATATGAACATGCGATAAATGGCTTTATTTAAAAAATAAATCTTTATATTTGAGATGGCGTGTTAAGTTAAAAGTAGTTCCACTTTTAAAAACGGATCTTGACACCCCTGTATTCTGATTAATCTAGTCATCACCAGCCAGCAGATACATGCTAAAACAGTCCAATGCATTTTCTATTCACACCAAAGCAATAAAACATGAACTTTTATTCACATTTCTTTAATCCAACAAATTATAAACCAGTTGAAAAAAAAAGAACACATCGCCTTGCTATAATTTCTCTACAAAGGAAAAAGCAAAATAAAAGCACAACAGTCACCGTCCTTGAGCAAACACCAGACAGTGAAGGTTTAGTGTAGAATTACTTACTCTGCAACGTCAACATCCCCTTCCCTGATCAAATTCACTGTGAACACAGTAAATCAAAGTCGCTCGGCTGGAGTCTGTGACAGCCCGTCATATGAAACTGATTAAGGTCAGTTCCGTGTCAATGCAGTTAATGTGTTAGTGTGCAAATGCTTATCAGGCTTTTCATCTCAAATATAATTAGGTGATCATTCTGCTTGGCTGCCTTACTGTTTTTCTGGAGGGCACGGATGGGCGTCTGCTGACAATTAATCAGATTAGGCTAATTTCCACAATAACGAGGACAGAACACGGTGGAGAATAGTCCCTTTGCGTGGCACGGAGCTGACCAATGAGAAGCAAGGACAGATCGGCGAAAGCATTTGAGCAGGTGATTCGAGTTTTGGGGTCTTACGGCCTCTTTCTCATGTTATCAGTTACTTTGTAGCAAAATTGATTTAGAAAGTGGATGTTTCTTCAACTTCGGGCAGTTTTATGTTTCAGGGTGTCGATTTTTAGTAAAACTAACAGATTTCAACTTCTTTTTTGTTATATGAAGGCCATATTAAGTCTCGGAAACTTTTTATCACGTTTTTTTTTCTACTTTTCAAATGTATTATGTCTTTGAGATTTCAAATGTATTACGGCTTTGAGAGTAAAAAACAACATACACAAACAAAACCAAATTAAACCCTGCGGCTCGTGACGATACATTGATGTGTAAAGACACAAAACGATCAGTCTGTGCAAGAAACTGAACAGTATTTATATAGTTTTTTACCTCTGATGTTCGAACTGCTCGAACTGTCCTGAACGGCGGTGCGTCCTCCTGAGCGCGTTCTTAACAGCAGGTGCGTGAGGCATCTTCTTCTTCTTGCTTTACGGCAGATCGCAGTCTTATAAGTGCATTACCACCACCTATCTCTCAAATGGAGAACGCGTTCAGGAGGATGCGCCGCCGTTCAGGACAGTTCGGACATCAGAGGTAAAAAAACGATATAAATACTGTTCAGTTTCTTGCACAGACGGATCGTTTTGTGTCTTTACACAAAAAAAGTAAAGTTTTGCCGCAGGGTTTAACTTGGTTTTGTTTGTGTATGTTTTTTTTTTACTCTCAAAGCTGTGATTCCCATTCACCTCCATTATAAGACTGACAGACTGCAACGGTTTGTGTTAAAAATCTTTGTTTGTGTTCTACTGAAGAAACAAAGTCACCTACATCTTGGATGCCCTGGGGGTAAGCAAATAAACATAAAATTTTCATTTTTGGGTGAACTATCCCTTTAAGGAAACATCCTAGCATTAACTACCCTTATTCAGCTAAATTCAAATGAGAAGTTTTTTTGGAAGTTAAACATTATTAAGAAAAGCCGACAGCAGGTGTTTGATCAGTGTTTGAACTCACACATCGCCTGAGGACATAAACGTAAAACACACACAGCTGAGGAGTCTCCTTATTCCTCCTCTCCATTGGACTTTGATCTAATGAAATCGAGAACAACCTCAGCAGTATGTAGTAAAAGTCCCAGAGGGAACACGAGTCTAAACCATTACCTTGCAAAGCAAAGGATGTTTCCATCCAATCGATATCACAGCCCAGAAAATGTATCAATGCTGTCATCTAATTAGAATGTATACATTTAGTGTACAGAACAAGGATGACTGAATTCCCCAGTGTAGAATGAGCCCTTGCTAGTGCACTTTGGATCAGTGCTACCTTGCATTATCAAACAAACTCTTCAAAAGTCAAGCACAGGTGACTGAAGATATTGATCCGGGCGATGCTCAACACATCAAGGGTGGTGCTTTCAAAAACACATGCGGTACCCTCCCGACTGTGAAACACCCCCAGAACGAGAGGACAGGCCTCTGGGATCGAAAGCAACCTTTCAATTAAGCCATGAACTTTTCTGGGCATGTTTGGGCTTTGGAGAATTGCATGCTCAAGGTAATCTTCACATTTTGTGTTAAAATGTGACATGTTGGAACAGTCTTTCTGTATTAGCTATGATTTTGTATTTTTCCACAAAACGAAACAAAGTTACAAAGAAGTTACTATGAATTCTGTGGTAATTTACTGATATGAATGACTATATTCACCAAAACTGACACGTTTTTTTTTTTTTCATTAAAATTTCATGAAAATAGCAAACGACACATGCCAATAAACATAAATAAACCATTGTGGTGACTTTCTGTTTGGAGAGAACATATTTCTGTGAGAGACAGCAGATGAAACTCACATTGCTACTCCGAAAAACTCGTGCTTGGCCGTGGAAACGACGACATCTGCTTGGCACAGCGCTTTGAGGTAATCTTCCTTACTGGGCATGAAACCCCAGTGCTGGATGTGGTCAACCAACTGTTCTTTGGCTTCTAGAAAGATGTCTATAGTGGGAAGGAACAGAGAAAGGGACAGAAGCCTCAATATCGATGTGTAGTAATTAGCGGAGAGAGGGATGTTTAAACTTTTGGTCATATTTTGCGAGGAGATAAAATAAGCAAGGTCATCATACATTTGGACATAAAACGGAGAAGGGCACAAATAATCAATAATGTGATTCTGTTAGCAAAATCAGAATAGATTAAAACCGTTTCAGTGTGATTGCCTTCCGAGCAATCGTAAACATAATTTCATAACATGAGCAACCTTTACGATCTGTTTATTTCTTTTGGTCATGCAGCTGTTTATGCCGTGATAAAAGTTTGCATCTCAATATAAGAGATTGTGTTTCCTGTAAGTCTCGCTTTGGCAGCGCTAGAGTGTGTGGGTACATAAATGAAATGAACACAATGCCATAAATACTCAAGACTGTCCGAAAGATATTAAAACATAATTGTCCACTAATGGGGAGTGTATTTTGCCAATGAAAATGTTGCCTGTGTGCAATAAACAGACGATCTTTGAACCTAAAGCTTACTTAACAAATGTGTTTCAAAGTTAAACGTAATTACATTTGTGCATGACATCAGAGGTGTCAAACAACTAAATCATTATGTGAAAATAACAGAAAGGCAAGTAAATAATAAAAAAATAAGCAAGCAGAACAAATAAGAAGAAAAAAATATATAGCTAACTAACCGGAACATTTTGTCTGAAACAAACTGTTGTATAACAGTAATATCACATTATAATTGTTTAATTATGTCCCCAGTCCCTAATCCGTACAGCACATGATGTACCTGGAACATCAGTGAAGGTCTCTCCCAGGACAGAAACTTCAAAGCTCAGCTGTTGTTCTTTGAGTTTCAGTAAGGTCTGGAAGAACAGCTGTGGGTCTTTGTCATGTTCCCTTTAGCCAGAAAGAGACACAGCAGAAACAAAACACTGACTATTTCACATTTGGAAGCAGTAACAGTTACTCATTAATTAATAACAGGAAAAATATTACCAAAAGAGATTTCAAAAATAAAGTGTAGAAAATAAAAAAATCACTACCTGTCATATTAGCATTAACATTTAATCATATAGTTTTATCCAAAGTGCTTTACAAACGATGAACTTCACAAGCCATTTCATACACGAGTCAACAATATGCACAGTATGTCAATACCAAGTGAGCACAAGTTAAAATGCAATTTAAGAAAAAAATATATATTTATCATAAAATCGCAAGGCTTTTATGAACATAATACACAATTTTAAAGTGAGGTTGACTGTATAGAGAGTTTTATTTAATAAGTGAATTTTAACTGTGACAAAAGTGGAACAAGTCTCTTTATTTAATTTATCCATTTTTTCTTTTGCAACCAAATATATGCACCCAGATTTTGTAGACAGGAGCCCATTTCAATTTTTCTTCATGACCTTCAACTTTTGTATGTTTGCCCATATGTTTGGATGTGGAAATGATATAAAACATACTGAGAAAAGGTAAACATCTGTGATGTGATAAAGCAATCTCTGATGAAATTTCAGTGTTTGACATTCAATTTTGACTTCTCAGAAACATGTATACAACTGGACACGCTAATACAATTACTTATATTTGAGGTGTGTGGTAAGAGTTCTGAAAGTTCCTCTTCAAATCACAGCTCGTATACCTTAATTACACATCTGAAGCTGAGGCCACATGTTCTGTCACTGTGATGCAGCCAGGCCGCTGATTGCTGGTGTGCTTCCATTAAAGTTCTGAGCTCAGCCAAGAAATCTGGTGAGCAGCTTCACAGCGATCACTGGCAATGCTTCATTACCTCAAAAATAGTTCACTCTGAAGTCTGAAGTGTGCCTTTAAATCCAAGGCACACTTTACAGGTTTTAGTAAGATTAAATTAGGAGTACTTCAAAGAATGTTTTATTAAATGCTATTTCAATTTTATTTCGTTCTATGAGAAGCTGAGTGAGTTTTCTTGCCCAGTCATTTGTATAAAATAAAAATAATTTGTATTGTTTATCTTTAATAAAATAAAATAATTTATATCGTTGAGTTTCATGATTATTATAGGTTTTTAAAAAGTGTCTCAAATGTTAGAGCAAAAATAACACACTTTCCAAAAATCAACTGCTTTTAATTCTATCAATGACCAAAATCTTTCTATTTAAAAAAGGTGCACAAACTGTGAGACAATTCTATTCTGCAGTCAAAAAGACTAGCATAGCTAACCTACATGCTAACAACACATCTGATGAAAAAGCTTCCCTCTGAATACCCTCTGAATACAACGACCCTTAAAGAGATACTCCACCCCAAAATGAAAATGTTGTCATTAATCACTCCAATGTCGTTCCAAACCTCTAAAAGCTTTGTTCGTCTTCGGAACACAATTTAAGATATTTTGGACGAAAACCGGGAGGCCTGTGACTGTCCCATTGACTGCCGAGTAAATTACACTGCAAGGTCCAGAAAAGTATGAAAGACATCTTCAGAATAGTCAATCTGCCTTCAGTGGTTCAACTGTAACGTTATGAAACGACGAGAATACTTTTTTTACGCGAAGAAAACAAAAATAATGACTTTATCCAACAATTCGTCTCCTCTGTGTCTCTCCTCATCACCATAGCGCCATTTTGGGGAATATCCACTGAACGCAAGCAGCATACGCTCTTCTGTGTCAGCCGCGCTGCACGGATGCGCTGTTTACGTTCAAATCAAAGCAGAAAATGTATCCTTGTGTCACGGCTGACACAGAATAGCATACGCTGCTTGCGTTCAGCGTATATTCTCCAAAATAGCACTACGGTGATGCGGAGAGACACAGAAGAGACAAATTGTTGAATAAAGTCGTTAATTTTTGTTTTCTTTGCATACAAAAAGTATTCTCGTCGCTTCATAACGTTACGGTTGAACCACTGATGGCAGATAGACTATTCTGACGATGTCTCATATTTTTCTGGACCTTGAAAGTGTAATTTACTTGGCAGTCAATCGGGCAGTCACAAGACTCCCGGTTTTTATCAAGAATATATTAAATTGTGTTCTGAAGATGAACGAAGCTTTTACGGGTTTGGAACGACATGGGAGTGATTAATGACAAAATTTTCATTTTGGGGTGTAGTATTCCTTTAAGGGTATTCAGAGGGCAGCTTCCCTTTAATGCACAGATTTGAAATATGCACAGATTTGAAATCCTTCTCTTTGGCCCAAAGTGTGCGCCTGAAGTCCTTTCAAAACCCTGACAGCCGACTGGTGAATGCAGCTCATCCTCTTGATAAAGCGGAGGTATGTTACCGAACAACGGCCTTACAGAGCTCATACATGTCGCACACAAATCTCTGAGCACGTCAGCACTGCCATTCTGTATACTGTCTGAGGAAGAGCTCTCTTCACAAAACTGACGATGTTGAAGGTCAAAAACAATTACCGGGGCAGAAGCGCTTTGACAAAAGACACCTCCCACTTGGGTGGGATCTCCTTAGATGAGGTATTAGTGAGGGCTTATTTCCTCTCATTTCCGGTTCTTTTATG